ATAAACCTATGTACTATATCAAGTGCCTCGACCGATAAATTGTTGTTTTATGCAGAGCGTCCTGGGCACCGAAGATCGTTCATCACCCATGCCTGTGTGTACTTACGCTGAATGAGAGTACGTAACGACTACCATACTCAGGATAATCTACCTCCCCCCCCCCCCCCCCCCCCCCCCCCTGCTGCCAGGTTCACAAGCGGTCTATAAGAAGATCTGGCAGCGTCCCAGAGGTCTCATTCTAGGCTGGCTGCCATCATGAAACGTGTCTATTTGGGGCGAGTTACCATGATACTGGTAAATAAACAAACCACGGTTACTGGACGCCAGTTGAAACTAGTTTCGCATTGACTGTTTTCTGAACTGCAGAAATGTCAGTTTACAAGATGATATACAAGTGGAATTACATGTGCTATGTATTGCACATTTGCGCATCAGCCAGAAACACCAGCTACAACCTTGAACAGGCTCCCTGCAGTGCAAGACATACACCTCCGCTACTGCGGAGAAAGTTAAAAACAGCTCTCGGCGGTCAAATTCAATACAGTTTTGTATATAATCTGTTGCAAGTATTGTCTCTTTTGGTGGGGTTTATGTATTGTTTTACGTCTCAGATACGTATACAGCAAAACACCGCTAAACCGGTTGTCGTAATAACGGGATTCGAACTAGCAGGGTTTCACTATACCTAATCCTATATTCGCATCTGCGTGTGGCGTTTTCGTGTGACTGATGCATCAACCCACAGTACGAAGCACAAGTACGGAGTCCATGGAAGTCGAACTGTTCAGAATGGATCGCTGGTACACATCTTAGTTGCCTCCCTCATTGCCCCGGGAGGCGGTGATATAGCCTAGGGGTTAAGCCGCCCGCCCGTCCCACCAAAGGCCCGGGTTCGATTCACTACATGTGTAATTTGTGAAGTCCATTCCTGGTGTCACCCGCCTTGATATTGTCGGAACATTGCTAAAGTCGGCGTAAAACCATACTCATTCACTCATTTTCGTGGCGAGGACAAGGGTGTGTGTCTATATCTCTACTCGTTCCCTTGGTTCACTGACGCATTCCACCAGCAAAACTGAAGTAATTTAATGCCCATAAATGGCTACACTCACAGCCTAAACAATACTTACAGCCTTTGTGAGTTTGGTTTTACGCCGCTTTTAGCAATAGTCCACCAATATCACGGCGGGGGGACACCAGAAATGGGCTTCACACATTGTACCCATGTCGGGAATCGAACCCGGGTCTTCGACGTGACGAGCGAACGCTTTAACCACTAGGCTACCCGACCGCCCCCTCACTTTCTGAACATGATCTAGGTCATCTTTATATTATACCACAGCTCTTTCCTGCTGTCAACACCCAGACCATTTTCACACTTTACCTTTCATACACACTCATAAACTCATGGGAACCTCCCGTCAAGCCATCCAGACCTGATATTCCTACCCTTGACACCCCCTATCGCCAGGTCATGGCAGGCTGTCATCCCCATATCGTCTTGCCCATCGATGCACGGGTCACGTTCCGACGCCAGGACTGGCGGGTAGGTGCAGGCGTCTATAGGAAAGGTAATCAACGGAGTGCCGTTATCGCCTTATCGCAAAGCAGTGACAGATATTCACGGATAAGAAAAACCTTTTGTTGACAAGTTGTTACCTTGTCATTCCAGTGTCGACAATATTCATCATAAACAAGACCGGGGTCATGCGTTGTCAATTGTGGCGTAACACTACATGCCACCGAGGTCTAATTCCCAGACTCAGCCACTATAATGCTATTTGTTGAGCTGGTATTGTTCCCAGTAGACCAACTGCCTCGAGTTAAATGTCCCACGCAACCTTCACTGAAATAGATCATTTTCTGCATTGGCCCAGTGGGCAAGGTTCCCCAGTGCATGTTCCAAATGTATGTTTTCATTTTGTAATCATCCCATGCTTTCACGGCCAGCGGCACGACGTTTGGAAGCACGGTGAGTGTTTCGACCTTCGTTTCTGAACACATGTTTCTGATCCGTTCTTCGTCCCACTAACGAACTTGCATAATCTGTAACGACTGTGTCACGATACTGGCCTACTGGCAGCAGTTATTGATTAACACTAGGTTCATTCAAACGAAGCAAAACGTTCCACCCAGTGATGAGCAGTTAAGGATGGAAGTATTCTGACATGACCAGTCTGCATGGTAATCTTACAGTTCCAGGGAATCGACAACTTGTTATTCGGGAGGGCTGGGAGGTTGTTTCTTTGGGGGGGGGTGGGATTTTTAATGGTGGGGGGGGGATATTTTGCCTCAGGTTTTACACTAGTCTAGCCCAGCAACACAGGATAACCTTTGGCCTGGAAACACTGACAACAGGATTGAGTATAGCCAGAATCAAAGGATTGCCTCTAGCCTGGCAATACTAACACTGTACAACTTAGTACCACCGAGCAAAGAAATACGAACACTACATGGTAGTATCCAGCCTTGAAACTGTCACTACAAAGTAGTATCTAACCTAAAACCACTTACATTACAAGCTAGTCTCTAGCCAGCGCCACTAACACTAAAGGGTAACCTCTAGCCTAAAACCACTGATAAAAACAGGACAGTTTCTAGCCTTAAACCACTTACATTACAGACTAGTCTCTAGCCTAGCGCCACTAACACCAAAAGGTAATCTCTAGCCTAATCACATTAACATTACAGGATAATATCTAGCAGAGCGACACTAACACTACATGCTTGTATCTAGTCTAGCGACACTAACACTAAACGGTGGTCTCTAGCCTAGCTACACTAACACTGCAGGACAGTATCTAGCCTAGCGACACTAACACTAAACGGTGGTCTCTAGCGACACAATCACTACAGGATAGTATCTAGCCTAGCGACACTAACACTAAAGGGTTGTCTTTAGCCTAGTAGTCATGCCAATTACTCAGGAATATCTGCATTTAATATAATCAAAACCAGTAACAAGTACATAGGTTAGTGTTTATTGACTCAACATATTGTTTCCAGTGTATTATTTATGACCACCATTTATCTCCGCACGTGCGGGGGTGTCATCTCAGAGGCAGTCGTGACAAGGAGCGATAACTCTCGTCAATGTCGTCTAGTGTTTCGGGCGGTTTGACGCGCTGAGATCCAGGGAATGTAAATCAAATATTTAATATTGTTCGGAAGTACCTTGACAAATCCCCGTATTTATACCAAGGCCGGGGGTCTAAATAGCACATGTTGACTACCCATGACCTAAAAAAATATCCAACATTTAAGAAACTTTATCTTAGAGAATTTGAACGCCACTTGTAACAGTGAACGTAAGGTGATACACATTCCTATTTGCAAGATCCCCCGTAGATTTATGACCCGAAACTTTTTTCTATTAACGCTTTTACCGAACCAGGTGATAAGGCGAGTGTTTGGTTGGGTCTTTGTTTTCTGTCGTAATGCGTTAGGGAATTAAACTGATTTACATGAGCGGTGGTATTGGAAATGTACTCGAATACGTTGTAAATCTTGGTGAGTGATGTTGGATCATTTCGCCAGGATAGTGACTTTAGAAAACTTGAAATCACATCCTCTTCTTTATACGCATAACAAAACAGTATCTTTGAACAGTAAATCCTGGCATTCTACTCCTGTCGTACACAACAGTGGTTCCGTACTTGAGTTACCATTGCTCAAAGTAGTGGATGTAATGACGTATATGTAACCGGTACAAGTAGGCGTCATCTGGGGCTATACATTACCTCCAGGCTACTTAAACGTCTCCTTGATACTAAACGCCTAGCGATTTCCACAGCAGCTGCTTTCATTTAAAATATGTACTGTTTTCTTCCATGTTGATTAAACATGTCCCCTTACAACCTGATGTACTTCACATTCGTGTTATACATGGATTGGAAGTAGCAAAGTGTACTTTCTTGAAGAATTAAATAGGTTTTAAACTAGAGAACTGGAATTCAGCTTTGGTTAACGTCTACAATCACAGATTGGACAGGTTTTGAAACAGTCGTCGTTGACGTAATTGAATATACTCGCAACTGATAAGTGAGTGAGTGAGTGAGTGAGTTAATATTTAACGTCACATCGGCAATATTGCAGCCATATCGTGACGTGACGAGACAAAATTTGACTTGAATATATATGTAAACTGTATACAATTCTGTCGACGAAGGACAATAAAACAACTAGATTATCACAGATATATGTTTAAAACTGATAAGTAATTATGACTGCTCAGCATAAACACAATTGCCACTGACATGGAATTACAGCAATCTGAACATACCTGCCTGAAATGCTCGACCCTCATTAAAAACATGACAGGATTGACACCATATATAGATGTACACGAATCCTCACGATATGTCCAATAATTGCTGTATCCTTTATATGCTAAACATTACCAACAACACCACCAAACTCCGTTACCTATAACTTAAATAGACATGAACGTTTCCCTGAACCCGACGGTATGAATAAATCCTTCAACGTTGGACCATCTACGAAAACGGTATCCCAATAACCGATTACCCCCAAACCAGCATCACGAATGACTTGCCACTTCATCAAAAAAAGCACTTCACTCTGTTCAGCACAGTATCAGTGGAGGCGTGATCAATTGTTGACCAACGCCACCTCCCCTGCGCCCCAAACTGCTGGACGATGACACTTTCCAAGGAACAGTTACTCTTGTGATAGTTCGAGAAGGTGAGAAGTGATGTTGGTTGAACGCCGCTTTGAACAGTATTTCAGTTATATCACAGAGTGACTAATTTAGGGGAAAGCCCGAAGTGATGCAATAATAAGCCGTTTACCACTTTGGTGAAGCACGCGAGCACCGGTATCGTGATGACAAACCTAGGAACATAATCAGGGCGAATCTGGAATTCGAAACCGTGACCCTAGATTCCTGGCATAACTAAGGGACGCAACTCCGCACAGCTGCGACGTCTGGGTCCCCAGTGCCAGGAGTCCAGAGAGGAACATGTTGAGACAGTTCTTACCTTGCAGGGGTCGTGGCACTTGCATATCGGACTTCCTTCCACGTCAGTCTCGTAACCATAAGGGCAATCTCGGAAGCCGCACTTGATCTTGAAGTACGGCCATAACTCCTTGCTGTTACCGGAGAAGAACGTGGATGCATATGTTGGTAACACACACAGCTGAAACCAATGTGCATAGTGTACACGCAAGCAGTCAACAGTTGTTGTAAACATCAAACTCGGTTTCTAGAAAAATATCCCTGGTCTAAGATGAAATAGCATGTGCCTTTTTTTTCTTTTCATATACAAAAACACACAGGCCTTATTTGTGTCCGTTTATATCGAAAGCACATGAACTCGTTATTGGTCAGTAAATAAAAATATATACCCCCTATATGTAAGTAGGGATCGAAATAACCAATACTGGGAATACAAGATCATAGAAACAGAAGAAATGCAAGAATGCGTTGAAATGACATAACGATATCACACAGTTGTGTGCAGTCAGCGTCGGGTGTAGAAAGACAACTCGATGAGACAGTGTACACGGGATCTGTATAATAATGTTTAAACTACTGGGGAAAAGGGACAAGGGTGGTCAAGTCGTTAATGCTTCGCTAAACTCGACTTTGGTATATCCAATGCGGACTGTCTTCCCAGTGAAAAAGTGTACTCGCCGTAAGATACATATTGACTTTCATGCCAATCATACGAGGCATGACGTTATGTTTCCACTGCTCACTGCACCGTCAATCGGAATTGAGTTTCATAACTTTTTATTATTCCTTGATAAACTAATTATTAACCCTAACATTCGGAAAAGTATAGAATCACACTTGTTCATCTGGCCATAATTCAACATCTTGTAACAAATGTCGGAAATGTGTAATTTTCGTATTACTGGCAACTATTGACTGAAACGTCTTAATCTCATATTTGAGGTACACATGATGCCATCTAATTCCCGTATTCCGATTATGAACCTTGTGATTCGATTATGATCCTTGATCCTTAAACACTATACCAATGCATGCTGGTTTCACCAACGCGGCCAACGTCTATGGCCTTCATCATTTCAACATTAACCTGACACACTTTCATAACAACTAAACTATTGTCCATATACCGTGCCAAAGCAGCGTTAAACCCAACCATCAAGCTCACTTTAAATTAAACTGATAGTATCCAGTGCTTCTGCCCCCATGTATACCTTTCCAATTCTGTATAATTGCCAAGTTGATATCATAATTATGTTTAGTTACAGAAGGAGACCACGCCATGTAATTACACTGATGGGAAACTGATTATTCTACACGATGTAGAGGTGAGGTGAAATTGGGTTTAACGTCGCGTCCAAGATTATTGCACTTATATAGCGGACGTGCATGCACGTGTGTGTGTGGCTGCTTGTACTAGTCCGGACTGATGCCGATTTATAGTGCTAGCCCACTGAGATACCATGCCGCTGTTTAACCTGAATACCCCACTCAGACACAGTATACTGACTCCGAGCCGACCAGTCCTTGTTTTAGCCCCTTAATGCCGAGCGCCAGACAGGGTAACAACAAGTACCATCTTTTAACGTCTTTTGGTATGACGCGGCTGGGGATCGAACCCGCGACCTTCCGCTTTCCGGGCGGACGCTCTACCACTAGACCACGGAGGCGGTCTCACGATATAGAACGTTAGTGTTAGAGTAACGTCCAATAATTTCCAGTTGGGCAATACAAGTCTGAATAAGACTCCACAGAAGACTGATCACCCATGGCTCCTGGTCAGGGAAGACGGAGCATCGAGTACAGCTGATATATAGCTCTGACTACATCCCAGCTGTTTTATATACAGTATACTAACGCCCGAGTATGTTCTTAGTCTGTACAATGTAAACTTGCTAGTCTGACAATGTGTTCACACAAAGCCAGGCTATGTATACCCTTGTAGGCTGTTGTTCGTTTCCTCGATCCACAACATCGACAGCCTGTGGCCATGAGAGCATACCACGCCACGGCATGCTAGCCTCATTAGATGAGCTATGTAACACGCAGCCAATGAAAACAATGGAATACATCTCACACACCATAGGGGATATATTTGGGGTCTGGGTGCTAAATATATCTTTTTCGCATATCGCACATTGTCAGTGAGAGAAAACAATTATACATTGCCAAGACTGTAGCGGTGGCTTAAGGTGATATACATTTTAACACACACACACACCGATATGAGAGATAACGATCTTTCTCCCTATCCTGAGATACGAGGTGTTGTTTTAACGGATCTTGAACAGGATGCACATAGAGGCGAGTTAGACTAGGCACCAGGAACTATCTGCAATTTCTGGTACAATGAGTCATTGGACCTTTCAAGCGGTTGGCATGCGGAAACGGCAACTCTTTACGAGCTTCGGCTTTCCCATTTTCATTTATAGATAGACAAGAAGTTAAAACTTGGTTAAAGTAAGTAGAACATTAACTGTCGCATTTCCTTGAGAGATATTTCATCAGCAATTGTACATCCTGTTAATAAGAGTTCGATAAAGTTTTATTGATAAATGTAACTATTATCTATTACCTGTTATATGCCGTAAAATGCCAATTCCTGACAACGACCGATAATTTCTACAATTGACAATCGAATGATGCGATGTTTCTATTTCCTGAGTAGGGTGTTGTACATATATTATCATATATATACAAGTGCACTGCATCAGTGAAGCAATAACGCATACTTCAAGGATTTTAATGGCATGGCGTCATGCTAACAGTATTTCCTCATGTCGTAATACTTTCGTATGTATTTTTAGACATGACAGAGCAAACCCCACATTATACGTTAACGACAATTGATGTGACAAAAAATAATCTGAAAAACTGATAAGTGAAAGAATCATAAACAATTTATAACATTCATATATCAAGTGAAAAAGTTCAAGAGTATATCAATGTAAAGCATTAGCCGTGAGGTCTACCGACTGCACACATATAGCTCCTGCTTATGTCACGACACGGGAAGCATGAATGAAATCTCGCCCGGCGTGTGTAGAGCGTACTACGTTAGGCAAGAAAGAGCTGAAGAAGTGCTACTTACAATTAAAAACACAAGTCCGTGAATAGGAAAACTGGCCAGTAAGTAATTCATATCCAGTTTGAAGTAACGGAATGGGTGTCAGTGGATGACAAGAGTCAATCTGTTGTGCACGACTAAGACAAGACGACTGGGACAGTGAGTTGACCCGAACTTGCACGGCAGACGAGAGCTGATGCTGTGTGCCGCCCCATTCTCATGTCGTGATTTATAGTACAGCCAGACTACGCGCTAGACGTGGCGGGGAATTCCTTCATCAACACGTGTATACAGGGACCGCTTCTCCCCCCGCCCGCTAAATACCCAGGACAGTATTTACGCTCAGGCGATGGGAGACTTCAATTCAACCCTTTTTCCATATTTGTCACAACATCGTTCTGACGTCACGAGCTGCTTTGCTATGATTGGCTAGCTGTGTAATGTTTCTCACGAGGGGCGTGGCCTTTTCGTATAACCTTCATTGTTATACGCTAGGCCTCTATGACTATTTTAAGGTACGCTTACACATCTCGTGACCTGGAGCATAGAAACAACTTCTCCCTGGTTTCTGCGATTGAAACTGAAGTCAGAGGAATGTTGGAGACACGTTTGAAATGCCCTTCATAGCTGGGGATTTACACCATAACAGATGGCGAGCACACCAAGTCAGGCGATTCATTCACTAAACTGTGCGAGCTCGCTTCTCCCAAAGTGCTCAGAAACATCCGCAAAATGCTCCAATATTTCACATAAACAAACATCAATCACCTTTTCCTGACACCATGATTAAGTACTGCATATTTTTGTACACGGACGTTTACCCTTCCTATGGATAAAAAGTATTCCAAAATATAACATTGCATTGTTTTTTTTAAATAGATCTTGACAGAAACATCTGAGGTCGATCCTTAAAATACTCATCTACCCTACTCAAACTCCAGAATACTTCATCGCCATGACAGGCAGTAGGCTTGCATTGGAGGGGGTGCACAGTTATCGTTTAGGTTAAAAAGAGTGAGTGAGCGAGTTGGGTTTAACGCCGCTTTTAACAGTATTCCAGTTACACCACGGCGTGTCAGCTTAATGTGGGAGGAAAGCCCGAAGTGATGCAGGTTTCAGACGTTTACCACTTCAGTGAAACCCACGAGCACGAGTATGGTGCTGACAAACCTAGAAACATAATCGGGGCGAACTAACGGATTCGAACTAACAATCATAGGTTTCTGGTGTGCCCAAGGGACGCAACTCTGCACAGCGAATCGCGGTACCTTAGACAACTGGGCCACCCTTGCCCCCGTCCCCCATGTTAAAAAGAACCACTCCACCTTGTCGAAAGATATTTTGGACAACATCTAACGAGGATAAAAGAAACTAAATTAAGTACAGGTTACACTGGGAACATCAACATCTAACGCTTCCATTTATAAAGTTGTAACCCATCCGTGAATACTTTAGACGATAACGTTTCCGTTCAGATGAAAATAGAATTGCACAAGTCTCTACAGCAATGCTTATTTGTTAAAATCATAATGTCTAGATAATATAAATACAAAGATGTTGTCCCTACAAATGACTGGCATCCTTAGATGACGTCCGCTCATCTAGACGTGCCTCTTATAAAGATAGAATTATTATACATCCATCACGGTTATATAGGTCCGTGACATCCATGGACTTATCATTCAGTACAGACTTGGAGCAAGGTTAAGATGTTCTTACAACCGATTTCATTATCCACGAGCTCTCTGGGCCCCTGCTATAATTGGATGACGCCATACACACGATCAGGCTGATTGTCAGTTGACGGTTGACTTTTCTGTGATTGTTTGATAGATAACGTCGTCGGTGGAAGTCAGTCAAGTCGTGTTTACAGTTGTTTATCAATGTCATTGTGTCTGCATGCGGTGAACCGCTGTCATATGAGAGATCGGTCATTCAACCGTGGAACAACATCTTGTGTCCTTGAGCTTGTGTACAAGGAATAACGAGAGATTCATCCTGTTGTTATGGGTTCTGTCTGTTGATCTTACCCATATCTCTCTCTCTCTCTCTCTCTCTCTCTCTCTCTCTCTCTCTCTCTCTCTCTCTCTCTCTCTCTCTCTCTCTCCCTCCCTCTCTCTCTCTCTCTCCCTCTCTCTCTCTCACTCTCTCTCCCTCCCTCTTCCCCTCTCTCTCTCACTCTCCCTCTCTCTCTCTCTCCCTCTCTCTCTACTCTCTCTCTCCCCTCTCTCTCTCACTCTCTCCCTCTCCCCCTCTCTCTCTCCCCCTCTCCCTCTCTCTCCCCCCCCCTCTCTCTCTCTCTCTCTCTCTCTTTTGCTTCTTCCTCTTGACTTTTCTTTTTAAATTCTTCACCCTTCTCCCCACTATGTTTTCTCACAGTTCCTTTGCCTCTGCTAGTGATGCGTTACTTTGTTACAGCAAGCATCAGCTGTAGATATTGGGACATGTTTGTAATTTACTGTTTTCATTTTGTAATCTACTTTATTTCTTTGGAAATGTGAGGCGAAAGTCTCTCAGTTGTACACAAACTTGAAAGTTTGCGTTTTAATATCAGATAAATTGTTCCGCCTTAATGGTAATAAATCTACAATGACACAATCAACACTGCAGCATGATTTATTCCTGTAATCTCTGTAATTGAGTATACATGTATGTTGTTATCAATGTGTGGGTCGATCCCTCCCCTACCTCCCACACACCATATGATTGCACCCCATGTTACCGAGAACCCTCCACCATCCCTCTCAAGGTAAGGCATCACTAGGTATATACATCACAAAACAAACTACACCGGTAACAACCTCGTCGCCATTATACGACTACCACATGATCTATAAAACATGGCCAGACCAACCAACACTCTCTGGTGACCTGGGCCCCGTTCATCAAAGCGGTCTTAGCGCTATGACTACCTTTACAGAACGTGTGTGTTCAGTTTACGATCGTAGCCCTCCGGCGTAATCTTTGTTTGTTTGTTTGTTTGTTGTTTAACGCTGTACAATATTCCAGCTATATGACGGCGGTCGAGTCTGGACCAGACAATCCAGTGATTGACATCATGAGCATCGATCCACACAAATGGGATACGATGACATGCATCAAACTAAGTCAGCAAGCCTGACCACCCGATCCCGTTAGTCATCTCTTAAAACAATTATAGTCGCCTTTTACGGCAAGTATGGGTAGCTGAAGACCTATTCTACCCCGGATCTTAACGGGTGGATCGTCATCTGAACACAGACTTGCCGGAACAGTAGTCATTGCGCCATCTTTGCTGGTGGCGCTAATGCTGCTGTGTGAAATGGGACACAAACAGATTTGGTGTCAGTTTGGTTTGGCTGGGCCCCGTTCCACAAAGCGATTTTTAGCACAAGGGCTATTGTAACCCTATGTTAAAGTATGGGAGTTTGGATCGACATAAACCTAAGATGATAGCTCATAGCTAGTGGTTAGTAGGTAGAATTGGTTACGATGGTTGTCCGAGTAAACCGTGAATCGGGTGGTAATAATGTGTGATCTCACTGCTTGTGTGTCAGTGTGCCCTGGTTGCGTGAGTTGTTGTTCTTGTTATCATCCTGGTTTGACCTCTCACAGGACATCTCTCAGATGACGTTACAGAACATATCTCAGATGACGTTACAGAACATCTCTCAGATGACGTTACAGAACATCTCTCAGATGACGTCACGGAACAGCTCTCAGGTGACGTTACAGAACATCTCACAGATGACGTTACAGAACATCTCTCAGATGACGGTACAGAACATATCTCAGATGACGTTACGGAACATCTCTCAGATGACGTCGTGGAACATCTCTCAGATGACGTCGTGGAACATCTCTCAGATGACGTTACAGAACATCTCTCAGATGACGTTACGGAACATCTCACAGATGACGTTACAGAACATCTCTCAGATAACGTCACGGAAAATCTCTTAGATAACGCAACGGAATATCCCACAGGCCATGTAACATACATGTAACGGAATGTCTAACAAAAGGTGCAACAGGACATGTAACCAAACATCACACAGGGATGAACAGGACATGTAACCAAACATCACACAGGAAAGAAAAAATACGTAACAGAACTCTATGAATCCAGATCATCTCACAGAACATATCACATGGCACTATATAAGCCATGTAAAAGAACATATCACAGATCAACTAAGAAAATATCTCCAGAACATGTCACAGAACATTGCACGGCCTTGCTTCAAGGCTGTACTGAAAGATAAGTCCATGGATGTGTAGTAATTCTATCTTTATGATACGAAAGTGTAGTTAAACAACGCCAGTCTCTTGTAGACCAAGTATATATGTATATAGTCTATAAACTATGATTTAAACTAATACTTTTTGCCTCAGAAACTTTTGCATGTCTAAAATATCACAGGTCATTACCAGAACATCACACGACAAGTAACAGAACATCACAGGACATGTAACAGAGCATCTAACATAATACAGTCAAGTCTCGTTAATCCGACACTCGTTAATCCAACAATTGGCTTTATCCGACACAAATGATGGGAACCGATTTAATCAGTGCTATTTAGACCCGTTAATCCGACAGTCTCGCACTCGCATGTTTAAGAAGATGTCTCTCTATGCATCTCGCATTTAATCTGGCAAAACGTCTAAGAGAACATGTCACGGAATATCTCCTTGACCATGTAACAGAACATCTAACATAATATGTAAAAGAAGACAGAACGTCTCTCTATACATCTCGCATGTAATCTGGCAAAACGTCTGAGAGAACATATCACGGAATATCTCCTTGACCATGTAACAGAACATCTCACAGAACACCTAACAGAGCATGATAACATCTCTCCTACAAGTTTGATAAAACATGATTTTTTTTTTAAAAAATCAGTTTCATAAATTTATCAGCTAACATCGATGTCTTCAGATGAAAGTACTATATATTACTTTGACCTTACAGTACTTAAACATTCTCGAGTTTGATAACTTCTATTTTTTCTATCTAATGCGAATTATTTTGCTGACTGCCACTTCCTGTTTTTGCCTACCACGTGTTTTTTCCCTCAACTCTAACCTCGAAACTTCGTCGTAGTACAGCTTGCGGCTGGAGCAGAGCCAACCCCGTGCTGTTACTGAATAGAGCTACATGATACCTCCACTTCATGATGTAAAAACTCTCTTGCCCAATTAACGTCTCTCATTGATGTTAACGGAGACAGATACTATCTGCCGCGGCATAGTCAAAGGGACGCTCCAGAAGTGAATGGCTCGGTCTTGAAGTCAGCAATACCCTCTCACAGATGGGGGAGGGGGGATAGGAAGCACATTGTTGAGCAGGCCCGGTGAGGTATTTTTAACTCGGAACATGTCACGTG